ATCGCACACCGTCTTCAAAAGAGTCACAACTCAAAATTTAGCGTTTTTGAGATTACGCGCAAAAATATACACCGAGCTTTTATTTACCTTTGAGCAAAAGCTGGAGCAAATTATTGTTATAATTTTATAAAAAAAAACCTAAGGTAAAGTAGCCCTTGCCCATATGATTATCATGTGCTAAGAAATAGTTATTCGCATTTTCTAACCAACGTATTATTTTGAGTTGTGACTCTTTTGAAGACGGTGTGCGATATGAAAAAGCATCCGAGACGTTCAAAACGCCATCCGTGCAGTGAAAAATGCTTCGTTTTAATACGGGCGTATTTGTATTTAATATTTCCATTATACGGGGTGTATCTATAATGGAAAAATCAATATTTTTATTACTTTTCACTTGATTTAAATACGAGCATTTTTAAATGGTAATCAAATAAAAAATTTAATTTTTACAACGCGTTTTTTTTCTCAGTGTACTTATGTATGAAGATTTGTTGAAAATTCACATACATATAGAAACAAATAAATAACATAAAAACTTATACTAATTGGTCCGCATCGATACCAACGTCGTGTGGTACACTACACTTGTCATACTGTTTTATGGTAGCTATAAACATAGTAAATATGCAGTCGCGATGTCATCCGTGTCTTCCTTTTTGTAAATTGTCTTGTGCCTCTTCTGTAATATCCGTAAGCTCTCCAACGCGAATCTTGTTCTCTCCCTCTTTCCTTTGTCTTTTATTTTCGTTTTAATTAGATCAGCTGTGTGTCCGCTTGCTAATATGTATTCTGATAGCGCCGTGTTGCTCTTCTTCTTCTCAATGTCCGCTTCATGCTCCGATAAGCGAACTGCAAGCGGCCTTTTCGTCGTTCCAGTGTAAATTTTATTACACTTTTCGTTTTCACTTCCTTCGCATGTTATTTCGTACACTACGCTATTTTGTTGGCGCGGCTCTATTCGAGTTTTTGTTTTGGTAAATACTGAAGACAACGTGTGATTTGATTGGTACACAATACAATATTAGCATACCGATCAAATCAAATAGGTAAGAAATGGGTGTATTCGAGGTGCAATTAATGCGGCAGTGTTGCTATTTACAACGCTTTTATCAACTTGCAATGTTGTGTGTCCAGAAACTTTCAATGTTGTGGATCCAGAAACTTTCAATGTTGTGTGTCCGACACCATAAAACCGCATAGTGCATAGGGCGACATCTGTAGTGAATAGGGCGAGGTAGATGACATCTAGATGTCGCCCTATGTACTACGTTTGCTACAGCGGAAATAGACGACACGCCATTTCTTTAAATAAAAGTAATTGGTGCTCGTTTGTATGTACATACATATGTAAATGCATGTGTGTGCACCTTTCTATTAATATCGTTGAATTATTTTAATATCTATTGCAAAATTTTATTCAGACAGGACTAAAAAGTAGAAAATAAATAATATAAAAAAAAACTTTTTAATATACAACGCTTTTATAAATGGACTAAAAAGTAGAAAATAATATTTCTCAGTCCCATAGAATTTGTTTTGATAACTTTTGATTTTGAAAATTTAGCAAAAGTCATTATAAACAATCTATGAAATTGAAAATGAAAAGCGTGGGGCGCATGTAATACACTTGAATTGATATGAAAAGTAATATATGAATGTATGTATGTGGGTATATGAATAACGACCGCTTAAAATCGATTTCAAAGTTCTACTTTCGCTGTAGAAATTTTAGGTCTACGTTATGTAGTTTGACTATTGTCAATTAAATCGAATGCTTTGTATTGCATGCGCTCCACGTTTTTCATTTTCAATTTCATAGATTGTTTATAATGACTTTTGCTAAAATTTCAAAATCAAAAGTTATCAAAACAAATTCTATGGGACTGAGAAATATTATTTTCTACTTTTTAGTCCATTTATAAAAGCGTTGTATATTAAAATGTTTTTTTTTATATTATTTATTATGAAATAGAATCACGTTCTACGCGAAAATTTTGGGCGACTCTGCCTACATCAAGCGTTCGAGGAACAAAATTTTGACGATCAGTTACTCATCATTGGCAAATCAAAAGCAACATAAAAATTTTTACTGCGCAATTTCTGCAGCATTTTAGAAAATTTTCGGTTGAGCATCAGCAACATGTCATCAGGAAAGCAACACGTCTGCAATATTGCGGTAATTATTACGTAGCTCGAACGCACCCAATGTAATAAAACTACAATTTTATAATAATGACAGTCTTATTTATTGTTAAGAGAATTTTTTAAGTACTAACTTGGTTAAATTAGCGTCCTCAATTACTGAAATATCGGAGTTTTCGTATTTTCAAAGCATTACTTTTCCATACCAAGGCTGTTAAGTGCACCGAGTTTGGTACAAATTGATAAATTGGTTACCGAGATTTACATTTGTGGTCAAAGTGCGCGGCGCCACGCCCATTATCCAAAAAATTATAATAATTTTATTTAATGCTAAGAGGTTATTCCAAGAATCGATTTTAAGTGAATTAGCTTCAGTAGTTATTGATTTATCGCAGTTTTCGCGTTTCTGTAAATTACTGTTATTTGGGAAGTGGGCGTGGTTATCGCCCGATTTCAAGAATTTTCAACGGTTATGTTAGATATAGCCTTATCAAGGCTCACACCGAGTTTGGTACGGATTAGTGAAGCAGATACTGAGATACAGCATTTCATCATAAGTCAGCGGGACCACTCCCATTTTCTAAAAATTTAATAACAATCCTATTTTGTTCCAAAATTTTACTTCACAGACCAATTTTTTTAACATTTTGGATATAATATTTACTGAAGTATCGTACTGACATTTATCTAAATTTAAACGCTTGTATACCCAAAACTATTTCTTTAATCATCACTTATATAACACTTATATAACATAGTTGCGTTCGCATTACATTCCCGTAGAGCAACAGGACGGAAAGGTCCTAGAAAACATGACTTTTGCTTATATCTCGAAAACTATTTATTTTTTAAATTAAGTGGATTCATATTCTAGTTCAGCGGCCTCAAATTCATCTAAAAAGTTTAATTTTAGTGTTAAAATAGATCTAAAGTAGTGTAACTATATACTAGTTGCGTTTTTAGATTTTCCCTTAATACATTTTCTAAGTAAAGCAATACCACTTATTTATCTACCATTTTCTGCGGGCAGTCTTTTCACAGTATATTAGCCAAACTTCCAAGCTCCCGGGGATACAAGAAATTCCTTAATATTCACAAAAATTAACAAAAAAATACTCGTTGAAATCCGCTATTTTCGTTACATTTAAAATGAACTTTTTCTTAATAAAATGATTAAAAAATATTTACTCTTAAATGCATTATTACCTTCTGTATGCGGATCCATCACTACTTTTTAAGAATAAAATTCAGAAATTAAAATATTAGCTTAAAACCGTCACGATCTTTCTAGAGAGCGAAAATTTATTTATATTCTGTTTCCGGTCAACGGTGAGCGTTCGCTGTGCAAGTTAGAAAAGTGAGGGGGACTGGGAAATGTTATTTGGAATGTTCTTCGTCAAATGTGACTAATTTTTTAAGTTTCCTTCAAAATTTTGTCAAATTGGTTTTTGGCCACCTAAATCGTTCAAATACCCTTATGTGCGTTGTCTTCAGTATTTACCAAAGCAAAAACTCTAATAGAGCCGCACCAACAAAATAACGTAGAGTACGAAATAACATGCGAAGGAAGTGAAAACGAAAAGTGTAATAAAATTTACATTGCAACGACGAAAAGGCCGCTTGCAGTTCGCTTGTCGGAGCATGAAGCGGACATTAAGGAGAAGAGGAGCAACACGGCGCTATCACAACACATATTAGCAAGCGGGCACACAGACAAAGACAAGAGGGAGAGAACAAGATTCACGTTGGAGAGCTTACGGATATTACAGAAGAGCGACAAGACAATTAACAAAAAGGAAGACAAGGATGACATCGCGACTTCCTATTTACTAAGTTTATAGCTAGCACCAAACAGTATGACAAGTGTACCACACGACGTTGGTATCGATGCGGACCAATTAGTTTAAGTTTTAATGTTATTTATTTGTTTATATATGTATGTGAACTTTCAACAAATGTTCATAAGTGAAAAAAATTTTAAAAACCTGTGATTGTTTTATTATTGTTTGTAGAACGGTTTATACATTTTTATATGTCCTTACTAATTTTAAATTTTATGTATATTTGTATATTTATATGTTGATGTGAGAATAAAAGGAGAATAAACACCCCTGAAGATGCTAAGAAATTTAGCGAAACGTTGGGTGAAAACGTGAAGGACAGTGTTTTCTTGCACATAAAAGTACTGATCAATAAGCCTAAAAAACATGGGTTTCGCGACTTTGACTTTGCAATGATTGCCAGCTCAAATACTATGGCAATGTCGCAAATTTGTCGCAAGAAAGTTTCCATACAGAAGTAATCAGCTGTATCGCGACAAATGCGACATTTGTAACAACTTTGCGACATTTCATGAAATCCACTAGTATTTTTTTTTATAAAAGTCTAGCTAGTTATACAACAAACCCATATAAATCCACATTTCACACTTTGTACACAAATTATAAAAATGCAATAAATTTTCACAAAAATTTAAGTTTTTTCTTCACTTTTATGCATATTCAATTTTAGTATAATAAATTGCACGTTTTGACGGTGCTAGCCATTCTCTTCCATAAAAACAAATTGTGAACATACATACTTTGTATGAAAAGGAATGCGTCACACTGTCAGCAAAAGAAAAATTAAAAATCAACGGTATTTTGAAGGCACTTGAAACTTGCATTTCATTACATTTATATGGTGATTGTTGTATAACTAGCTAGAATTTTATAAAAAAAATATTAATCTTTAAATAAACTAGAGAAATATGGCCAAAACTGGTCAAAATAAGGCAATTATTTTATTTCTTTCACCCGTGTTTGACCATATGCCAACTATTATCATACAATTTGAAACTGAAAAATAAAAATACTTACCCATGACAATTAACGGGGCTGTGCTAAAACCAAATTCATCAGCACCTAGTAAAGCGGCCACAACAACGTCGAAACCTGTACGCAATTGGCCATCAGCTTGAATTATTACCCTGCAACAATTTTAAAATTAAATATTATCAGAATTTTCAAACAGCTGTGCTCATGGGACCGTAGGTGGCCACTGACAAGCGTTTAACTATCGATATTCATATACGCATATAGTTCGATTCAAGTTAACAAGAGTTCAAGCCTGTGTGTCTCTTATATTTATTTATTTATTTTATTTATTTATTTGGTCTACAGAAAAATGTTTTCTTACAGACAAATGAGAATAGAACATTTGGATATTTAAGTATTTGTGATATATTACAGAATAGACTAATTATACATATTAGTTTATAATAATAATAATAATAATAATAACATAAAATAGCAGGTTTGGTAGCTGGCGAGGCCTAGTCTTCAGTCAAATTTTGTGTGCGGTAAGCGGAAAGCTCTAGTTTCCGCTCCGCACTGTGGACAAGCTGTTGATCTTGGTCGGAAATGCCGAGTTTCCGATCCATGCTCGTATTGTCTTACGCGGTCGCGAAAATGTACGACGCCGATTACAATTGTATTAAGCAGTCATATATATTGTGTATTTATAATTACAAAAAAGCGATTCACGTTTACGTTTACCTCATAAACTGAACAGAAATACAGTTCACCAGCTGAACGATAAGGTGCAATGTAAGGGTTTACATGTTATTTATTCAAAATCTCAAGTAAGGTTTTCTTAATGGTAAAATGTGAGTCGGAGGTGTCAAAATAGTCGTAATGCTTATTAAAGTCCTGGCATAGGCACGAAAAGCATCATGCATTTCAAAATTTGTTCTACAAATAGTTAGCTTAATGGGCTTGTAATATCTATAAACCCTAGAAGGGATACAAAACGTGATCTGGTTCAGTAGAAAGGGACTATTGACCATCCCGTTCAAGATCTTAATCATGAAAAAAACCCGAGCATCTCTCTACGGCTGTGCAGCGTTGGCAAATTTATGAGCTTCAAGCGGCTTTTGTACGGCGGGAGATTTAATGTCGAATCCCAAGGCAAATTATTTAATGCGAATAATAAGAATTGTTTCTGTACCGACTCGAGTCTGTCAGAGTGCGTTTGATATCTAGGGTTCCATACGACGGACCCGTTTTCTAAGATCGGCCTGACTAGGAAGGTGAAGAGAGCTTTAGTGACATAAGGATCTCTGAATTCTTTAGCCCAACGTTTGATGAAAGCCAAGACGCCCTTGGCTCTATTAACACAAGAGTTTACATGGGACATGAATTCAAGCTTAGAGTCCATGGTTACCCTAGATCGATGAAATTAGTTACCTGATCATCACTATGTTCACAAATGCGGTAGCTATATGATTGAAAGAGTTTTCTAGAGAAACACATAAATTTACACTTTTTCAAGTTAAGTGACATAGAATTTACTTCGCACCATTTAAACACCTGTAATTGTTCCCTGTCTCCTGGAACACCAATGAACTTAAATAACTTAGCGTCGTCTGCGTAGATTAAGCAATTCGAATACTTCAAAATATTTGGAAGATCGTTGATGAATAAAATAAACAGAAGGGCACCAAGGTGGCTACCTTGAGGTACACCTGACGTCACACGAATTACACGAGATGAACATTTTTTAAAGATAACCCTCTGTTTCCTGCCAATGAAATAAGAAGAAAGCCAGCGCAGCAGGATTGGAGGGAAACCAATTTTATCAAGTTTGTATATTAGAGTTGAATGAGATACTTTATCAAAAGCCTTGCTGAAATCAGTGTAAATAACGTCAGTTTGATAATTAGTTTTGAAACCATTGTTCACATTTGTAGTGAATTCAAGAAGGTTTGATACAGTTGATTTACCTTTACAAAAGCCGTGTTGTGATACATCGATAACGGGTGTTATGGAATAAGATAGTTCTTCCGTAACGATTTCTTCAAATAATTTAGGAGTGGCACACAGCTTAGCGATTCCCCTATAATTCGCAATATTCGACCTGCTTCCATTTTTATAAAGCGGCAAGATATACGACTCCTTCCAAAAAGAGGGGAAAACTCCTTGCTTTAGAGAAGCATTGAAGATGTTTGTTTGGCTTATATAGATAATCAGCACAACTTATTAGGACACAGGAGGGAATGCCATCCGGGCCGCTTAGAAAAGAATTTTTTAAACTATTCAAATGAAGGAGAACATTGTCAGCGGAGATTGAAGGAATACGGATGTGGTCAAACTGTGGGAGTGGAAAAGGATAACTAGAAGTTTTTTCATCTGGCTCGACAGAATAGTTCGATTCAAAATAATTTGCAAACATATCAGCAATCATATCATCATCACTAGAAATAACATCATCTAATTTCAGTGTTGAGGGAAACCCATTTATTTAACGTTTTGGTAAACAAAATGATAAAATGACTTGGGATTAGAAACGATGTTAATGCGAGTTTTATTAATGTAAGTCCTGTAACATTTTCTGTTTAAGGCATTGTATTTATGACGAAGGATGGAGTACGCAGCGTAGTGAGAAGACAGGCCTGATTTTTTATAAAGTTTAAATGATTTAGTTTTCTGATTTTTTAAATGCTTTGGCTCTGAGTTCAACCACAACGAGTTACGAGGTTTACTGAATATATTATTCAAGATTTTACTACAGTGTAAGGCACTGTTCTCAACATCCCTATCGTACTCAGGCCAGATTATTTCAGATATAGCTATTTTAAGCTTGTCGTAGTTAGCGTATTTGAAAGAATATCGCCGACCTTTCGGCTTTCTAGTTTCAGGACAATAACATGAATCGTAGGGTGGTGCCAAGGACAACTCAAGTGGTGGGTGATAAGGGTCTATAGGTATAACTAAAGGATCGCCGCGTATTATAGTGCATTTAGCAGTATCATCAATAAACGCTAAATCAAGACATTTACCTAAGTTGTTGATAACCGAATTAATCTGATATAGACCAAGATCGGAAAGTTCGTTAAGAAATTGGTTAAGTACATCCCGAGAAGAATTTGGCACCAGAATTCCATCCACCGAATCCCAGGAAACACACGCTAGATTGAAATCACCCAACACAACAATCGAATCGGAAAGCTTGACCATGGCAAATAAAGAGAGCAGTAATGAAGAATGTTTAAAGTAAACCGAAGGGTTGAGGGGCAACGTATTCTAACACAGAGGAATTCAAATCATCTCTACCTGTGAACACAACTTTTTCAGAGGAAAAGTCGGTCTGAACAGCTATTAAAACACCCCCGCCTTTTCTATCTAAGCGATAATTTCTAAATATTTCATACTTACTACACAATATTTCACTATTAAGCACATTCGGGTTTAGCCAAGTTTCAGTAAAAACCAAGATTTCATAGTTTAAATGAAAAGACTTTAAGTACAGCTCGGTTAATTTTGTATTTAGACCTCTAACATTTTGGTAATAAATATTGAAGAAAAAATTGCTTATAAGTTTTTTGATCCTGTGGAGGGAATTTGAACAGTATTTTCATTCCGAGCTCGATGTCTAAACTCAAACTGTCGAACTATGAAAAATTAAATTTTCTAATAGCTATGTGCCGGGGGTTAAGCTTTGATGTTATATAAGACTTAACATCTTCTACCGAAGTTTCACTAGAAAAGCGCGAAACAAACACAGATTTATTCGCAGCAACTACGATTAATTCTTTCGGTAACGGAGAAGGTCCACTTAGGGATGTAGGTTCAGACACAGCTGTGGTTTTTGCTGCAGCCCTTGTAGTGACACCTGAGGAAGATGCAGCTTGAGATAACTCAACACACGGAGAATTAAAACTTGTTAATTCCTTATTTAAGCCGGGAGTAGGCAAATAATCAATTGGCGGAGTGTCAATGTCTAAAGCAATGGGATTAGGAACAATGCTGTCTCCTCCATGCTTCCGCTTTTTTGAAGCTTGTTTAAGCTTGGGTGATGGAGAGGATGAAGACTCAATGCACTTAAAGTCTTTAAATGCATCTTCATATCGCTTAAACTTTTCGTTTAGAAGTTTTAACTCCTTACCCAACTCCTGGAAGCCACTTCTGGCGCTCCTAAACATTTTACAAAGCTCAACTTCGGTTGATCTGCACTTGGGGCAAGACCAACCAACACCTTTGTTATCGGTTATGATATCGGCCACCCTACCATTGAGACCAGCACATTTTACGTGAGCTAAGCCATCACACAACCAACACGCAACGCAACGCTCTAAGTCGTTTTTAATGTTACATTTTTCAAAACAGCAGGATGAATACATTGCAGCGCGAAGTAGTAACAATTTGTATGTAAAAGAAAAACTCACAGTGTACGCTTTTAGTACGATAGTAGCAAAGATGAGCGGTTGAGAGACACAGAAGTCTAGGTATTGTAAGTTCAATGCTTAGAAACCGTGCTGAACTTAACAGTTTTAAAGCCACTGAGCCAAAAGCCTAAAAGCATAAAAGCAAGCCAAAATCAGCTGTTTGCAGGAAAATTATTTAATCGATGATAAGCAAAATGTATGATAAATCGCGGAAGATGGGAAAATGCACTCTCACGCAAAACAACAATAATGCACTAAAAGAGGCAAATATGCACAATTAATGACAAGAATATTAATTTTTAATCCACGCACTTTATGTCTAAAACACAACAATTTATTGGAGCTTGGCTTCAAATAGCTTTTTCCAATATAAATTACACAAATTAGAACTGCTTAGCACTTAGATAAACATAGTAACTTTAGAAATTCTTTCAAACGAAAGTTTAAGCGACCGCATAGTACGAACGTTGCCTAATTGGAAGATCGACTTATCTCAACTTAGTTCGCAAACGCCATATCTCAGAAAACTTTTCAAGAACACTCTACTTCAGAACTTGATTGAAGAACGCCGTATTTCAGAACTTTACTGAAAAACACCCTATCTCAGAATTAAGTTCAAAACGAGATAGGGCGTTTTTGAATCGGCAGCTGAAATAGGGCCTTCTTCAACCAAATTCTTAAATAGGTTGTTCTTGAAAAGTTGTCTGAGATAGTTTCGAACTGGCTGCCGAGGTAGGTCGATCTTCCACTCAGGTGTCAATATG